TTTTTTTTTTTTTTTTTTTTAGATAATAAGCAATGAACCTCACCTATCTGGACCTGAGTACAGCATCTGCCACTATGCCACATGGGATATTATTAGTTAAAATGGAGAAGATGAGGATTAGTAGAGAAGAAGAAATGTAAGACAGATAGAAGACATACTAAAGGGAAGAGACCAGGCAATGTTGCAAGAGGAAGTACCAGCCTACATAAATGTTACTAGTAGATTTCCTCAAAGGTTGGCTCAGGACTGATTTGCTTCATATTTTTCTTTATGACCCTGAGAATGTGCTGATGAAACCTGCTGATGAAAAGAGAGCAGTTGTCATCAATACAAGTAAGATTCAAGCTATCATGCAGGAAGAACTGGATGACCTAGAGTACTAGAATAGCAGAAATGGCGTAATATTCAACAGTACAGTCTGCAAGATCATGCACTTAGTGACTAATAAGAATTTCTTCTACATGCTAATAACTCACCCATTAAAAGCACCTGAGGACAGAAGGGCCTGTAAGTATTAGGTGATCATGGGATGACTATGATGTGTGTGACACAGCTGTGATAAAGGCTAATGCCCTGTATTAGGTTAAGTATTTCTAGCAGAGATAGGGAAAGATCAATGCCATTGTACAAGGCATTGGACCTACCTTCCTTATGGAGCCATCTGACATTGCAAACACACCGAGAAGGAATGCAACTGCCATCTACAAATACACCACAGAAAAGCTCCAGGGAGGGAAAAGGACAATCCTGGCACAAGAACAAATAGGGATAAGTACATGGGAATAAACTAACCATTAACACATTTTTGCTGGAAGTTAGAAAGTTTTTAAAGATAGTGAGGTTATGAAATAGCTTCCTATGGGAGGTAGAAGGCAAGGAAGGGAGCCTAACTGCTCTGTACATAGATTTTGGCCAAGTTAGGAAAGGGATTACATGACTCTGTGCCTGCAAGAACAGAGGGCTGTACTCAACAACCCAGGAGATTCCTTCCAGTCGTACCTTCCTGTCACAGACAAAGCGAACGCATATAAAGCTCAGAATAAAAGAGGTTCAGAATAAAAGTTACAATACCAGCTGGGTAGAGGGATAAGCTAGGAGGTAAACATAGTTATGTCTGAGGTTAGAGCTCAGTTGCCAGTGTTTATGGTTATCATGGTGTGTAGCCTCTCATCCCTGCAGCCAGGGTCACTGGGGGCTAGTGTCATTGCAGTAGACTGGTATGAGGGTTTGACAAGTCAAAGGAGCTATGCTCCAGTAGTACACTACTCTTCCTGTCCCCAGGAAGATGGGCATGGCTGGGGAATCTTCTGGCAAATATGCTACCAAGCAAAAGAGCTGTCAAAACAGCACTGAACTATATTAGGCCTCTAAATCAGCAAGCAACGCATACTTTGCTCATGGCTCAAGGCTCACTGCTCAACAAACAACATTTTTTTTTTGATCATTCTTCTAATGTATTATGGAGACCTATTTATCTGGGTACTTCAGAAATAAAGTGTAGCTGGTTCAGCAGATGAGAGGGTAGGGAATTCCAGAGCTTGTGACATGGGTGTGGAGTGTAAGGGGTGGCTCAACTAAGAGATGAGTGCACATTTGCTCATCTTTGTTTATGGCCACCACCATGGGCATGCAGAGGGAGGCTAGACCATGAAGGGAGGAGGAACAGAACTCAAAAAGGGTATTCATTCACATCTACTCATGTTATCAGCACCCAGTGCCAGGAATAAAAATAAATGCCAACTGTCAAAATCTCAACATATGCTAGCAGTTAACAAAAATATAAGCACACTTACTGTTCTCTTGGTTACCATGCTCCCAACAGCACTCCCACTCACAGAGGACCTGGGTATCCTAGTTAGGTTCTGCCGGTCAGCCTCCCTGTCCTCAGGGTAATCCAGCCCCTCCCACGTCTGCCATAAAACCCATGGCTAGTTGCCGGCATCTCATCCTAAAATGCTGTTCAACTTCTCAGAGTACAAACACATGGGTAACCTATCACAGGGGATGCTGTTTCTCTCCCTTGCCTGTTTGTACTCCAATTTCAAGTCCTTAGTGATGTTGCACCACTGCATGGCACTACTGGTGGCCCTGTGTTCCCATTTTCTTGGCTACAGCCTCAAATATCTCCAGGTTGCAGTAGTTGCAAGTGAGAGCTTATGGCATCTTTATTTCACCACACAATACAAGCATCTTAGGGTGCCTATATGCTCATTGGTGTTCTAATTAGAATGCGGCAGAGTCGCCACAGCATCACGTGTATTAAGCCCTTGCATGTTTTAAAATGGCCATGGGACCCTATCTAAACCTCATTCAACAAGGTTTCATTAAAGTGTCCCATGGCCATTTTTAAATATGTAGGGGTTTAATACATCTGACAGTGAGGTGTCTTAATTAGAGTGGCTGCCTGGGAACCACTTTAATTAAAACACCCTCGCCCCACCTTCAGGCATGTGTATCGGCAGCCTTA